CACTGCTCTGGGAATGGGGCTGCATTTGTTTTTGGAAATTGGAATTTACTGCATTCATTGCAGAACTTTTACATATTGTGTTGTTTTGATTCCTAGCTCATATCGTTCAATGGCATTGTCTTAAATACAAAAATAGCGTAGCAGTTAATGTTATCATATTATTGTATCGAGTGATATAAATTGCATTGTGAAATTAAATCCTCACGTCATCTTGATTGATGTTCTCAAAACACTTCTTTTTAATTGAGATGACTAGTGTGAAACACCTAGGAGAGTGCCATTCAGTAGACATAATCTGAGATTTTTAAAAATAGCCAGGTGCTGGGAATATAGAGATAAATTAGACACAGAACTTCTACCAAGACAGCATGCCAATTATGAGGCGAGCACCTCCTTTCTAGCCCGTCATCCCCCATAATGGGTCTGCAGCCCCTAACAGTGTTGTCTTAGTCCATTTTATGTTGCTTATAACAGAATACTTGAAACTGGGTAATTTATAAAGGAAAGAATTGATTTCTTACAGTTATAGAGACTGAGAAGTCCAAGATTGAGGGGCTGCATCTGGTCAAGGGATTCTTGTGGTGGGGACTTTCTGCAGAGTTCCAAGGCAGTGCAGGGCATCAGATGAAGCCACTGCTCCCGCTCCCATGATAACCCATTAATCCATTAACCCATTAATTCATGAATGGATTAATTCATGAAGGCAGAGCCCTCATGACCCAATCACCTCTTAAAGGTCCCACCTTGCAATAGTACCACATTGAGGATTAAATTCAACATAAGTTATGGAGGGGACAATTATTCAAACCACAGCAAGTGCCTTATCCAAGAGATCTCAACCCTGAGGTCAGTGAGACCATATTAAACTGGTCACACTAAATGAATGCCCATGCAATCCTTTGGGAAGGTACGACTGGACTCCACCAAGCATATCCTATATCCCAGGCGTCTGGGCGAATGGTGATGGTGTGGAGTCCAAAACTGAGTAAGAAATGGTACATCAGAGCCCCAGAAGGAGGATAGCATCAACTTCCTGTCTTCCTGTCTGGGGAAGAAGTTCCCTTAAATCACAGTTTACGTCTTCTTTAGCTATGGTTTATAATACAATCGTGTTCTGAGTTCTACCAGCCCAAACTCTTAATATATAAAGGGGATACACTTGAAATTTTGAAAATTCTGGATTTTAAAAACTGTTTATATGCTTCTTGAGACCCCAAAATCCTGTTTTGGGTTGCTAGATCTGAATGTTGACTCCTTTCGCTTTATTTCCTGTAATAATCTCTTTCTCTCCCAAGTCATCATCCAGAGACTCCATCTGAAAGGGGGTATTCACATAAAATAAATGCACTAAGAAAAAGAGATTTGGCATACTAAAAAAGCCGCTTAACTATTTTTTCTATCTTTCTATCTATTGATTTAGCATCACCATCACGATCAATCATCCTATCTACCTAACCAATTTCTTTTATGTCTATATTTTTACATTCATTAATTTATTTTATGGTCAAAACAATGAAACTCTGATATCCTAGGCAAAGGAGCATTCTAAGATGTTTAATTACGAAATAGAAATATTAATTATGACCTTTAAAAAAATCCAGGCAATTTACTTTGGCACTTTCAGCTTCCAGGAATTTGTCATTCCCAGCTCTGCCATCTCGTGGCGATCCTCTAAACCGCACACTTGCAGCCTAGAACCACTGATCTTAGACAGGCAGCACCCGTGAGAAGCCGACGCCTTCAGACGTTGGACAGGTCCGCTAGGAGAGTGAGTGGATTACAGTTTGATTTTAAACTTTCTTTGTAAAAATTAAGCACTGCGTATCTGAAGCACTGAAACTGAGAAGTCTAGAACCAATCGGGAGCTATTTGAAGATCCCACGTGTGCTTGAGCTGAGTGCTGCTGGCCGTGAGCCCTGGCACGGGGGGAAGGGCTAGAAACGGGGTGACGTCATCAGTACTGGAGTCTCTTTTGCCTCACACACTCCCCACTCCAGCCGTCCTTGATAGACAGTGGCCTAGGCCTGGCATGGGTTGAAGGAGATAGGTTTATTTTTTCTTTTCTCCTACTTCGAGAAGGTCGAGTGATTCAGAGAAGAATACATAGATTTTTCCAGGCACTACATTGCAATATATGGTAAAAAACTTGATATTTCTTCCAGTTGACTAATAATAAATTACTTTTTTTGGAATATAATAATAATAATAATTCTCTTTCTGGGTATCTATAAGAAATCATCTGAAACATGGACAAAATTTATGTGAAAAGATTTTTAAAAATTTTCTAGGACTATTGTGAAACGGCATATATAAAAATATTTTTATGGTAACATTGATTATATGAAAATGAAGATAAGAAATTTCTCTTTCCACACTTCCTTTTCCTCTATGATAATTACTGATAAATTATTACCATTAAGGAAGCTAACTCTGAACATATTCTTATTTTCAAAAAGGACATGAAGTGTCTACTGATTGCAACTTTTCAAATAATAAATATTAAATCAGAAGACTATTTTTATTAACTTACACTTTAATTAATTAATTTTATTAATGCAACTGTCAGACAGACTGGCTATTACCCGATATGTCCAAAGCATCTTCTAATGGTAACCCACAGGGTGGAGGAGGGCTTGGTATGAAATGATTGAAAACCTACTCAGTGAATAGAGGAAGTTGGATATTCGGTTGGAAGGTTTAATGGTCTCAAGCTCTGCAAGCTGACAAACCCATGTTTACAGTAGGTATGGATGTATCTTCCATACCAGCCAGACAGTATCATATGCCTTTCAGGAGACTACCACATTGGCCGGTAGGTGCATTCTCTGGCTTATACAGTGCTTGCATAGACAAGGGCTGTCTTCTCTGACAGCCCTTTTATGCTTTTGGATTAAAATATTAAAACTGAAATTTCCACTATGGCATCAAAATGTAATAGATATGAAATCCTAAAGCCAGATTACTAAATACAGAATCTGAAAAGATTTGGTTTCATGCCAGTTGGCCCCAGTAAGTGTATCATGGACATGAAAGAGTCAGAGTGTCGAGGGAGGGGACATTTGTCAAGGATTATTAGTATTAATATTATTTTTTGAAGAGAGCTATTGCAATGCTGTGAGCTCCCCTTCACACCAAGAGGGAAGAAGCAGGGGAATCTTATACCCTTTGCCTTCTCACTCTACAACACAGAGAGCTTGAAATATGGGGAGAGTGACCGAACTCATTGAACTGGTGCTGAGCGGGGCAGCAGGCAGAGGCGGCTGTGTCGGGGCTGGCTGCACTCCTAGAGTTCGCTGGGTGCAGACAGCACCAGCGTGGGGCTGTCCTGAGACCTGTCCAGAATGAGGTGAATGCTTCATTCTCAGGGGCTGGGAAAGAAATTGTAGAATACAGATGCATCATCCCTGAGAAGAGGACTACAAGAGAAAGGGCCCTGGTGATAGAAATCTCTGGAGAACTCACTAAGAACAGGAAGCCAGCCAGCTGAGGATGAACTGCCCTGAGAACATACCTCTCTTTTTCCCTGTATAGCAATTAGTAAGTGGGAGGAAGTAAACAGGCAGAGGGAAAAAACCCAACCAAATCCACTCTCCCCAAATTAGCTAGCCCCGAACTATAGGCCTTAGGATGGAGAAGGGAGGAAAGAAGCCTTACTGTTGAATAAAGATGGCAGGTTTTGATTATTACCTTGGTGTGGACAAAGGCCCACCCCTGATGTTTGTGGGCCCAGGCAGGAATCCAGTGGTGCCCACAGACTGTTTGTCTCAATATTTAAAAGCTCTGCTTCAAGCTAATGAACTTTTAAACAGAATATATCATATCTTCTTCCTTTGAGATTATTTTTTTATGAATGATAAAAACCTCAAATTGCTTGCTAGCTAGCTGATGCTAGATCCCTCAGCTTCCTCTTCCAATAATTCAGGACATTAACAGTATAAACACATATTTTCTCCCCCTTTTTATTTGGGGGAGACTCTTTCACCCCTTTCCTGAGGCCGACTCTGCCAAACTCCTGTGCCTGAGTGTGGAGCGGGGAGGCTTCCCCCATGCTGTCTAGACCAAGGCAGGCAACCTCTGTTTAAAACATGCACCAGTTCCCCACCCCCGTCGCATCTCCTTGGTCCCTTAGAAGAACCTGTGTCTGGAAGGCTGGGTTCAGAATGTGGCCTTGTGGGGACAGCCAGCCCAAGGCCTTCCCTCCTTCTCTGCCAATTCCCACACAAGTGCTTGCCCATCCAGCCTGCACGTCCTTGCTCTCTATAAACCAGTGCTTTCCAAACCTTGGCATGCATGGGAATAACCTAGAACGTGTGTGAAAACAGATTCTGATTTAGTAGGTCTGGGGTGGGGCCTGAGAATTTTTGTTTCTAGCAAACTCCCAGGTGATGCTGCCTGTGGGGGAACCACACTTTGAGAAGCCCTGGTGTAGTTGCACCTCCATTTCCACAGCAAACAGCAGGCCCTCGGTCAGCCCTCAGAGCTAGCGTTGCTCGCACCCAGCAGAAACATCCAGTTCTGGACTGGGAGGAGCGTGCCACGAAAGAGGCCGTGCAGGTCCTGGAAGCAGGCTGGGCTCCATTTGGGTGGAGGGTTTCCAGGTTCTGGTCTAGATAGAAGGGAGGTGGTGTGGGCTCCATCTGGGTTGGCACATCCACTTGGCCCGTGGACTTCTCACCCTATGGGAGGGACTGGCTGGGGGACAGCCAGAGTGGTGCCCTGTAAGGTTCTAGGGCCAGGGAGGGGGCCAGTTCAGATGGAGTCTAGGTGGGAGGGTGTTCTGCCTGAACACATTCTCACTATTCCACTGAGGTTGTGTCTTGTGACTTAAAGTGACATTGGGGCTGGCAATTAATTAATAGTGAGCAGTCCTGGGATCTGCCATGAGGAGGGAAAAGTTTCCCTCTGGATAAAATTTTAAAGGATGTGTGGAATAAAAAGTTTCATTATTTCGTGAACTGTGTTTATTCAACATGCCATTTATTTTCCATGGCTGACTAATCTCCTTTCTTTAGTGACAGGTCTTTACCAGGATTCATCCAATTTTCTTGGTATTTACTCTGCATAGCATGCTCACTTGCTCACCCCCCTGTTTGTTCTTATTTCTTTTAACTTGTGGCAATGGACTCAAGCCCTGAGCCTCAGATGCAGCTGAGTCAGAGAGGAGCTCATCTTCCTGGGCACGGAAGAAGAAGCCAGCCGGTGTCTTCTGGATTTGTCACACTGGAGCTGGACGAAGAGACCCCTTTACCTCCTGGGGCAAGGAGATGTCTTTGTCCATCTGTGCTGCTGTAACAAAGCACCAGATACTCGGTAAGGTATAAAGAACAGGAATGTATTTCTCACAGTTCTGGGGGCTGGGAAGTTCAAGATCAAGGTGCCAGCATTTGGTGTCTGGCGAGGGCCTGATCTTCACTTCCAAGATGGTGCCTTGTTGCCACATCTTCCAGAGGGGACAAATGCTGTCCTCACATGGTGGAAGGGACAGAGGGTAGAGAGTGTCCCTGTCAACCTTGAGGCCTTTTATAAGGGTGCTAATACCATTCCTGATGGGGGCGTCCTTATGACTTAATTACCTCCCAAAGTCCATACCTCTTAATACTTTTGCAATGGGCATTAAGTTTCCACATGAATTTTGGACAGGATACCATCATTCAGACCGAAGCAGGAGGGGAAACAGTTGGTCTGCAGCAGGAAATAACGAAGACAGGCAGTGGGAAGGGGAGAAAGACGTCCCTGAGGGACCCACAAGCACGCCCACCACTGGGTGACTCCCACCGCGCTCCCTCCGCGTTCACCCGCGACAGTCTATGCTGCTGGCCCCCGCTGCCTGCCCTGGTGCTTACCCTCCTGGTGCAGGCCTCCTCGTGGTTCTCTGCTTTGGCCCTGAGCTCAGTCACAGGGAGGAACGAGGGTCTGATCACACCAGAGACATCCTCCCGCCGCTGAGGGAATGAGGGTCGGGGACGGGGCACCTCGACCCCAGATGATCTGTCAGTCCATCCGGCAGAGCGCGCCCTTGCGGGAGAGAGAGCCGCGCCAGCCGGGATGCAGCTTCTGCCCCGGCCCCCAGCACGGCGCGTCTCAGGGACCTGAGGAAACACCATGTCAAAGGGCCGCGCTGCACATATAAGGAGACACTGAAGACTCAGAATCTCACCGGTGTTTGAGCTTCAGGGCTGATAGCATCTGAGACGGTAGAAGGCGTCTCTGTTGGCGCCCAGTAGGGAGGATGGGGGATGGGGGATGGGTGTATATATCCCCTCCCACTGCTGTGGGCCCCTCAGTGTCCTGCCCCTCGCAGGGCTGTTTGTAGTGGGGCCGTGGCCCTGACGACATGGCAGTCAAGATGGCTTCGAATGGACGTCTCTGTCTCCAGGGACTCTGTTTTCTGCTCCTCAGCGCCCTGGTGGGTGCCCAAAGTAAGAGTTGCCTCTCTTTTCCTGGGGCAACACCGGGTGGTGGGTACCTTGGTGAAGGGAGGGGTCTCTGCCCGCGTGGAGCAAGCCCTCAACGTAGACAAGGTGTTTTGGACCCAGAGGAGGCACAGCGATTGTGAATATTGCTTTTTGTCCTGAGGGGTGGCAGCTGGTCACGGTGGCAGATTTTGCAGAGAAATGATGTCTGGTTCCAGACTGGGCCGAGTCTGTCTCTGTCCCCTCCAGTGTCTGTCTCCCTTCTGTTCAGTGCCAGGGGCTCCTAGTGTGTGGGAAGGACCAGTGCTGGCCCCGGCTGCGGCTCCCACCCCACATCCTCTGCCTTGGAGAGGACTGCGCCATCAGGATTTGTTTTGTGTATTTGTGCTTCTTTAGGCTACGTGCCTGTGTGTGGGGATGTGAGGGTGTGTGGGCAGTGAGTCAAGGCCATCTGTGTAAGGGGAACTGCCAAGAAGTGACAGAGTCAGCTGGTCTGTGAAGTGCACTGTGCCCCCACTGGTGGGCTATGAGTCTCTCTGTGTGTGTGTGTGTGTGTGGTGTATGAACCAAGTGTGTGATGATAGGCAGAGGTCCCTTGTGTCAGCCCTAACCAGATCGTAGATAACCCTGCACCTGCCTGCCTCTCTCTGGCTCCCCTCCTTCAGCCCACGGACTCCTCTCTGCCTGACTGCAGTGTCTGCTCAGCTCTGGGCTCCATCAGAGGCTTAGCCTCCTGCTGTACCCATTCCTTCCAACTCTCTGGTGGAGAGAAGAGGACCCTCAGCCATGACAGGGGACCTCTTGTCTATAGACAGAGCATCAGTTATATTATTTCCCAGGTCCCTGCCCTAGTCCTTGCGAATTGTTTCCTGACTCCCGGGGTCCTGGACTGGTCTTTTCCATTCCCTAAGATCCTGTGTGAATTCTATGGGGTGCATTTTCTCTCTCGTGCTTCCCCTGTCCCTCCTTGCAAGCTTGTTTCCAGTGAGCCTTTGACTCAGAGGACTGCAGGCATCAGGGATTGATTGGGCTGCAGAAAATCTAGCCTTCGGCCTGGAGGAGGCAGCTCTTTCAGATTTGGGTGTTGGTCCAGGCTGGGACTACTTATAGCTCTGTCTCCTCTCAACGCTCAGTGTCTTTTTCCTAGAGTCCCTTAGTCCCTAACTCTCCTGGGGAAGCTTCACCCCACTAAGCTGCTGCTCAACTGGTGTTGGCCAAATGCTAGTGAAGATTCTTCTTTTGCTGGCTTTGAAGGACAGAGGTAGGTTTTGGTGCCATGATACAGGAGACAGTGAGTGTTCCAATACAGGCCTCTTCTTACCAGAAGAGGTGTAGGAAATTTCTTCAGAAGTTACTTAAAAAGCAAAGACATTTCCCCAAAGCAAGCATCATTTTTATTTTCCTTGAAACACTGTTTAGTTTTACCTTATTAAAAATTTATTCTTCCACTTCATATGACATTGATCTTGCTCCTTTTAAAATGTTGGTTCTGGCATTTCTGGGCATTTGATGATTTCTGAGCTGGACACATATTACAGAAGTCTTTACTGTGAAATCTGTGATGGGCATTGAAAAGAAATTGTCCCCTCAAATACACTTTATACCACTATACATAAAAACATAGACTACCCCGAATTGCATAACTTAGTATGTATTATTTTGTAATCTGTTTTGAAAAATTAGCAATATATTTTGGACAATTTTTTATATTGTTAACTATTCTTTTACAGGTTAAAATATTTTATTGCAGTATTACAAAAACATAGACTATTCCAGGGATAATAAAGAAAATTTTAATTGCTTCCATTATTTCATTATATGACTGAAACTCAATATACTTACCTAATCACTAATATTGGGAATTTACTTTTTGATGTTTTTGCTGTTATGAAAAAGTTGTTCTGAACTTCCTTGTGCAACTCAAGGGCTATTCATGATTATTTCTCCTAATAACATTCTTTATTTAAAAAAAATATATTTATTTATTTTTTTTCCAGCATATTGTGGGGGTACAAATGTTAAGGTTACATATATTGCCCTTGCCCCCCTTCCCCCTCAAGTCAGGGTTTCAAGTGTGTCCATCCCCCAGTTGGTGCCCAGAGTGCTCATTATGTATGTATATACCCATCCCCTCCCCCCTCACCTGCCCAACACCCAATAAATGTTATTCCTATATGTCCACTTAAGTGTTGATCAGTTAATACCAATTTGCTGGTGAGTACACGTGGTTCTTATGCTTCCATTCTTTGGATACTTCACTTAATAGAATGGGTTCCAGCTCTATCCAGGAAAATACAAGAGGTGCTATAACACCATTGTTTCTTACAGCTGAGTAGTACTCCATGGTATACATATACCATATTTTATTAATCTACTCATGTATTGATGGGAACTTGGGTTGTTTCCACATCTTTGCAATTGTGAATTGTGCTGCTATAAATATTTGAGTACAGGTGTCTTTTGCATAGAGTGACTTTTGTTCTTTTGGGTAGATGCTAAGTAGTGGAATTGCTGGATCAAATGGTAGATCTACTTGTATTGCTTTAAGGTATCTCCATATTGCTTTCCACAGAGGCTGAACTAGTTTGCAGTCTCACCAGCAATGTAGGAGTGTTCCTATCTCTCTGCATCCACATCAACATTTATTGTTTTGGGACTTGTTAATAAGGGCCATTCTCATGAGAGATAAGTGATATCTCATTGCAGTTTTGATTTGCATTTCCCTGATGATTAGAGATGTTGAGCATTTTTTCATATGTTTGCTGGCCATTATTCTGTCTTCTTTTGGAAAGTTTCTGTTTATGTCCTTTGCCCATTTTTTGATAGGGTTGTTTGATTTTTCCTTGGTGATTTTCCAGAGTTCTAAATAGATTCTAATTATCAGTCCTTTATTGGATGTGTAGCTTGCAAAAATATTCTCCTATTCTATGGGTTGTCTGTTTGCTCTCTTGATAGTTTCTTTGGCTGTGCAGAAGCTTTTTATTATTTATTTATTAATTTATTTATTTTTGATATTAATTTTTATTTTATTTTATTAATTTTTTTAAATTTCAGCATATTATGGGGGTACAAATGTTGAGGTTATGTATATTGCCCATGCTTCAAGCATGGCCATCCCCTAAACATTGTACATCTCACTCATTATGTTTGTATATACCCATCCCCCCTCCCCCCTCCCACCTGTCCAACACTCGATAAATGTTTTTCCTATATGTTCACTGAGGTGTTGATCTATTAATACCAATTTGCTGGTGAGTACATGTGGTGCTTGTTTTTCCATTCTTGAGATACTTCACTTAGTAGAATGGGTTCCAGCTCTATCCAGGAAAATACAGAGGGCTATATTCACCATGTTTCATAAAGCTGAATAGTACTCCATGGTATACATATATCACATTTTATTAATCCACTCATGAATCGATGGACACTTGGGTTGTTTCCACAACTTTATGATGTGAATTGTGCTGCTATAAACATTCGAGGCAGGGTTCTTTTCACAAGTGATTTTGATCTTTTGGGTAGATGCCCAGCAGTGGGATTGCTGGATCAAATGGTAGATGTACTTCTATAGCTGTAAGGCATCTCCATATTGCTTTCCACAGAGGTTGAACTAGTTTGCAGACTCACCAGCAGTGTAGGAGTGTTCCTCTCTCTCCACATACACGCCAGCATTTGTTGTTTGGGGACTTTTTGATAAAGGGCATTCTCACTGGAGATAATGATATCTCATTGTGGTTTTGATTTGCATTTCCCATGATTAGAGATGTTGAGCATTTTTTCATATGTTTGTGGCCATTATTCTGTCTCTTTGAGAGAGTTTTTGTTCATGTCCTGTTGCCCATTTTGATAGGTGTGTTGATTTTTCTTAGTGATTCCTGAGTCTAAATAGATCTAGTTACCAGCCCTTTATTGGATGTGTAGCTTGCAAAATTTTCTCCCATTCTGTGGTTGTCTGTTTGCTCCCTTGACAGTTTCTTTTGCTGTGCAGAAGCTTTTTAATTGATCAGTCCCATTTATTTATTTTTATGCTGCTTGATTGCCTTTGGGGTTTTCTTCATAAATTCTTTGCCTAGGCCAATGTCTAGAAGAGTATTTTTAATATTTTCCTCTAGAATTCTAATAGTTCACACCTAAGCTTCCAGCTGTACCACGGAGTTGGTTTTTGTGAGAAGTGAAAGGTGTGGGTCCTGTTTCAGTCTTCTACATGTGGTTATCCAGTTTTCCCAGCACCATTTATTGAATAAGGGTTCTTTTCCCCAGTGTATGTTTTTGTCTGCTTTGTCAAAGATTAATTGGCTATATGAGGATGGTTTTATATCTAGGTTCTCAGTTCTGTACCACTGGTCAATGTCCCTGTTCTTGTGCCAGTCACAAGCTATTTTAAATACTATAGTGTTGTAGTATAGTTTGAAGTTTGGTAAATTGATACCTCCTATTTTGTTTTTATTGCCTAGGATTGATTTTGCTATATGGAGTCTTCTCTGGTTCCATACAAAGCATGAAACTATTTTTTCTATATCAGTGAAAAATGATGATGGTATTTTCATAGGG